TACATCGTACAGTGCAGATCATGAAAGAATGCATCAGATGGAACCCCTTCTCGAATTTGAAATCTCGACTAGAATATTTGAGGACATAAATAGTCGGTGGTTTAACCGTTATGTCTTGTCAAACTGGCTTTCATTTAGCATGTTTTGAGGAAACTCCAAATGCGAACTATTTTCCTTGGCCTTTTTTTGCTGGGCCCGTTCCCATGTGAGTCATCAGGCTTTTTCCTATCATGGGCGTTTAAGCGCGTTGTTGCCCACATCATTACCCATTCTTTTTCACATACATGCATAAAGCATCTATGTTTTTTCGTGGCAGACGGCGAAATAAAGGTATTGTGAACAACTAGCGCGGTAGAAAATCCAATTTTTAAGAATGCGACTAGCTCAAATGTGACGGAACAGTGCTTGCATAATTGGCCATACTGCTTGGATAATGCATGAAAGGTAACATACGCATTGATTTTGAAAAACGCAACTTAAGCAGATTATTGGTGATCTATAACAAATATTTGTTTAAATATAGCTCAAATTGCGAAGGATAAAAGAACCTACATACCTGTACTTTAACGTCTCCGGTGACATTCAAAGAACTCCCTTTATAGTTCTTTGGGAACTCAATTACCCACGAAGACCTCCAACGTCCGCTCCTGAAAAAAAAAACAATTAAATAATTTTAAGGGGTATCCTGGAGGATTTTGTTAATTGAATCGAATACAGAATTATGACAGGTAGCGGCATCGGTGGGATTCGAACATACGACAGCAAGGGCATGTCATAAGCGTAATCAATACCGTAACTAAGTGGGCTGCGAGGTCCCGATCGAACCAAAATGCAAATAATTCAAGGGTGCTAGTTATGATCTCGTAAATCAGTTGGCTAAGGTTTTGTTGAAAAGAATCCTGTACGCATACCTTCTAGGGCAGGATGTGATGATAGGAGACTCCGCAATAAGGGTAACTTTGCGCAAAATTCTAAGGACATTAGGGTTACGCTTAACGTTTAGGTTAGCGTTGAAATACGAGAATGGGTACGATCTCTGGAATTTATGGCAACGCCAAGTTTATTACGGGGCACCCTCTCTTTCTTATCTTGTCGTCAGAAGGATTACATAACAGAACCTCAACCGTTACTGTCTTTAATTTAAAATGACACTGAAACGACATGTAGTCGGAGTCTGAGGTTTGTGGAAGCAACCGAGAGATCAGGCATATCATTTACAATCCAATTAAGAAACCAAAGTATGTTTGACCAGTCTCAAGGCAAACAGGTGGGGAATGAGACATATATCTCCAGGTAAAAATTACGAAGGTTAGGATATAAAAGCAAAGTACCAAATGTGTACTTACGAAAATTGCTTCCGAATGTTACCCTCGATATATATGTAGATCATAGGTTTTTCCGAGGAAGGAGCAAAAACTGAAACAGCCCCAGTCGGAAACTTCTCAGCAATGTAGGTTGTAAGCATATCCTCAATTGCCCTCCGCCATGGCTCTAGCTCAACACTACCGCCTTCTTTATCATTGGGCGCCGTGGGACTGACATCATCCACAGCAAAAGTAAGAGGGTCAAAGGTAAACGAGTTGTGAGTTCTGGGACAAAGGAAACGTCCATTTTGGAGATCTCCCTGCTCAGTAATCAATGTCTTGACAGGACATCCCGGGAGTGCAACCTGAACCGTTTGCTCCTTCGCGTACTGAAGCAAAACTCTGTAAAATAAAATAGAAAGTAAAATCGCTCACTTCCTCAGATTCTTTTCGAAGGGTTTGCAGTCCCCAACGATAGTCCTAACGGCTTTATTTTTGGTAGAGTACATAAATGCTGACCAAACCTTTTACAACATCCTCGACTTCCTGCGGAGGAGCCAGTAAGACAAGGCTTGCAGCGGTTTGGGCCTTCAAGAAAAAAATTAATAAGGGACTAGTTCGAGTTTAAATTGTAAAACTATCGAATCACTATAAATTAATAACCTTAAGTTCCGGAGATATCCCGTCACCCATTTTACTCAAAGAGCCGGGTTTCTCTAAAGCGTTAAAACAAATAGTGTATTAATTTATCGCCGTGAATCGCAATATGAAGTGAAGCACTCGCCAGATTTGTTTCGAAAATGCAGAATTAAGGCTGCAAAATGAAACAGTCGCAAGGAGGAATGTACATTTATCTGAAGCGAACACTCAATTAGCTTCAATTGTCACAATAGGCCAGCTCAACAACTAGTAAAAATAGTATATTGGGTTTAATTTTTCCGAATTACGTCCACACTCTTTTCGTCGTTATCTTTTCACAAGTGATCATGCTTTGATTCGTTGTTGTCTTCCACCCTCTACTTTTGAAAACTTTGAGGTAAAACGTAAATACATCGACTTTGCTCGTGTGAACGAATAATTGGTTAATAATTTTGCAAACACTTCAGATTCCCGCAAGATATTTTCAACTAGTGACCACAGCTTTTCCTACGATTTATAGGAAAACCCAAGGGAAAAAAATTCGCGATTTTATGTCACTCAAGCTTTTGTTCAAATCAAATACTGGTTTTTCTTTGTTCCGCATTTTCTTCAAAACCGACTTAGCAAATTACGAAAGCAGCTTTTCATCCATTTAGATGTTCATTGGCAGTTCACTTCAGGGTCGCGAAAACATTTGAATTAGTTTCAAAAATTATATCCACGCGAGATAGGCTCAGAGAGTCTCTAGCAGACGGTGATGCTAATTCTTCGAGATCTGTTGTTCAAGTCTTACATCTCCTGTCGACTATCGAGTCTCAGAAATTCATTCTCCACCCCCTTACTCGATTATAGCAATAATTCTGTTACAGAGGATTTGGGTAAAGCAGGACTGTTAAATTCGTTCTCTGACAAAGCTCGAAACAGGCGCCATTTCCTCAATTCGTCTGTAATCTGTTTTTCGACCGACCCTGCCAGCAACAGCCACGGCGGGACACGCCTTGCCACGCGTGGATAGATGGCGCGATGGAATGGTATTCAACACGATCGCACCTTTCGGCCAAGCTTTTTGAAGAGTTATGCGATAGAGTTTCGCCTTCGTTCGACTTCGTGGCCGCGAGTGCCGTCTTTAAGGCTGATGATTAAAGACGGTACTAACCTAAACGTCAACTCCAGCAACGCACAAGCGAATATGTATTCTCTTTCGCTTACTTTCTCGCAAGAAAAGGAAAGTGAAGAAAAAGGAAAATAAAGCCCTTATTGAGTAAATGCAAGTAAATGTTTTTAGCAACATTTGTACAAAACTACTATCATGAATCAGGGAATTTTATACAATTTCTGCATCAAACGAAGGAGATCAATTCCTCTGGCCACTGAAAGTACCCGCAGATGAAGAAAACCTTGTAAGACAAAAGTAACTCTTAGTGTTAGCCAACAAAACTCACCTGCGTGTCTATCCTTATAAGGTAACAAACGAGCGCACTCGATTGGACCTCAGGTTTTCTTCAGCCAACGAGTGGTAAGACCACGAAACTGGTTACCAAGCGAGATGGTTTCCGCCGACACCATTACGGATTTCAAAAGAAGTGTTTATTGCATAATATTTGGTAAAAGGCGACTATTACAATATGATTTCTTACTGCTAGCCTCGTACACATTATCCTGTCTCTAGCTTGTTTCCATACTCCTTTCATCATCCTCGGAAGAGGAAGAAGAAGAAAAGACGATTATTGTGACCAAGGTATTTTGGCTGACGTTTCAAAAGCATGCTCGCTTGCATCGTCAGAGCGCGGTGTCTGTACTCCTGTTTGCGTAAGATGAATGTGTCCGACCACTAGCCTTACCTAATGCCCAAGTGTC